AACAAAAATCATGGACGAGATGAGCGCCCCGCCATGGCAAGTTATCTAAGGGAAACACTGCTTAGGTTAGTTCTACTTAAGGCTGTGTTGAAGGAGACTCACACAGATTTGTTAACGACCTCCATTTGTGAGCCACACCCTTATCTCACCCAGTGACTCACCCAACCTAGTAGCCGGAGTTGGATCGTCATCCACAGGGAAACTCACATTAACGACCGCCCACCTTGGTTGTAGAATGGCTATTATTACTGATCTGGTTCTTTTTAGAATCCAGGGATAAGATTCTAGGATGTTGTTTAATTACTCACAGCTGAAGAAACCTTTAAAACCTCCTAATTTTGTTAAGAGTTGAGCCAAGCTTCTAAGATCCATGAACACGAAGTAGTGAAATGATAGTTCAGAATTATACATTTTATGCTTTGCTTTAATTAATGATTTGCAAGGGGAACAGCGTTATGCACAATCCAATACGATGATTACATTCGGTTATATAGTGAAATCAGTAATCAAGAGCCCATACATTGCTCGAGGGAGGATCCTGTTAATTGATTTTGATGTCTAAAGGACTGGGAGTCCAAAAAAGTTGGGATTTCCTTGCTCTGATGAGCTGAGATAGGGAGTTATGAGTCCTTGAAGCTTGTATAAGTCATTGAGGGAAAGCCTTCCCTTCCTTTTCGAGCCGAGCCACGCCGTAGAGCCCCAGAGCGTGCAAAAACTTTTAAGAAATCTGATACTTCTCTGTCAACTTTAGAGGATATTCACTCAAATCGATGTTTCTTACTTATCACATCTCTCTATTAGTATATGGCAGTAATGAGTAGATGACCCCAAAGTGTTGCTGATATTTCTCTGACCTTCTTGTTGTTAGATGTGCTATTGCTGTTATTTGGTATAAATTTATAAAAGAACGGTAATTAGGGAGCGTCTCTTACCAGCATGTTGTCTTAGTCTCAGAAGACGCTTTGCTTTTAAAAAGATGAGAAAAAATCCATTCCCCGAAACTGGGAAGAATAAGCGCCCCCGAGCTCGAAACAGCTGTTCAAATTTTGAAGATTTGTGTGGCTTTGATCCGGACTGAACCTAAAATGAAACTTCGGTCTTGCCTAAAAGAAGTCCTTTTCGGATCGTCCAAATCTTCAGTGGAAAGCAATCCATAATTGTCCTCTCCTGACCAACTCCAAACCCTATTCAGCCCAGTTCTGCTCGCATCTCTTCCTTTTATAGCTTTTGTTACTTTGATGGCAAGTCCAGACATGCCCGATCAGCGAGGCTCACCCCTACAAGTGAAGCCTTCTGCTGTAAGCTTTATGATTGGCTCTATGGAACTGTCACTCTTACCAACTTCTAGACCATTCTGTTTCAAGGAGGGTGTTGCACCCTCCTGGAACAGTTTGTCCCAATGTTTTTCATTCTATTCTGCTTAGAATGAGGTCACATACTTTATACAGTTCAACACTTAGGGGTTACTCCTTTGTTTGCTCGTAAGGTTATCAAACAGTTGCATAGTCTAACTGCTGATTATTTCTTTACCTTACAACTTGATCAAAAAATCTTCAATCACACATACAAAATCACATATAAGTATTAATTTAAATGATTTAAAAAGTGATTTAAAATGATTTAGGTATGATCTTTTACACATTTAAACATTTTCCATTCTGTCCACAGCAACTAATACTCTGCTCTCTTCTCTGCGAGCCATCAGCCAGGCTCACACACACAGGGAAAACAGAGGAAAACATCTGGATTCAATCAAGCCTGAAGCACGCACACACACACACAAACCTCCTTCCTGCATAGAGGAGTTGAGGCTGCAACCCTCGCTTTGACTCTGATTTCACTCTGAAAATCACCTCCATTGACACTCCCAGAGAGATGGGAAGGGATGAAAAAGGCAGAGGAGCTGAGAAGATTTACCTGGGGACATATTTATTCATGACAGCGTAGAAGCAGTTGTAGAGATCGCTGCGGGGTAACCGGAGCCCCAGCAGGGGTTTGAGCAGATGTGGCCAGCTGAGCTCAGGGGTGAAGGTAATGTTGCGAGACTTGCAGTAGAAAGTGATGACCGACTCTACATCAGACACCATGTCACTCATCTCTTCTTCTGAAACTCCCAAATGGTCTAAATATGGAAACAAGGAGGGTGGTGTTGGCAACACTTTTCACATCAGCCTCATGCTAAATTTTACTGGGAATTTTTTTATTTAGACTCTGATGAATAACATGAGCAAATGAGAAGATCTTCCATTTCTATCCTCATCAGATCTGACAGATACGAGGGTTAAAAACTTATCATAGCCATTTTTCTATAAACTCTTGACAAGCTTATCAGAAAAAGACTGCTCTAATTTAAACAAATGCTGCCTCAATGCATTCATCAGCACAATTTCTGATTTTATCTGCCACATTTCTGCTGGTTAGTAGCATGATTTAGTTCTGATGCAGCATTCAGAAAAAAATAATGAAACACTCCCCATATGCTGTCAACCAGGCATTTTGACCTTGACGTTTTAAATGACGTTTAAAAAAAGTCGGATTGAATCCAAGAAGCTGATATTTTTACGCACCGATCAGCTGTTGACTGCGGTTGTGAATGAGCGTTTGTTCTGGTAAATCAAGAACACCATCCCAAGGTGACAGGCTGTCTCCTTTTCCAGAAACGTTCAGCGCAATCTGCAGATACAAACACACACAAAAACATACACACAAGTTCACTTCTAAAAATGGTCCTATCGATACAAGAACATATCGCTCTAGAATCGATCCTTAAATCAAACTATCGATACTTTTGATACTTTTGCATATCATTAACAGGAAGATGGTGGAAAGTAACTAAACTATTGAGATCTTGTCTAAATGAAACACGGTTACTGGGAACTACATTTTCTTCCGCCTGGGTAAGTGCGTAATGCGTGTAAGCGCAGTGGCACGCTGCTTGTGCTCAGTCTCAGTCTGTAAACACAAGGCGGAGCATAACAGAGTCATGTGTGGAACCATTTCAGCTCCAAAAACAGCCAGGAAGCAGTTTGTGAGGTTTGTTGAAAATCTGTAAAAACTGTGGCAACACAACAAACCTTGTAAAACACTTCCAGTTGGTATGGTATGGTATATAGTTTATTCATTTTAAAAAAGTACAAAACAATTCCATAATATAAAAAAAAGATATAAAAGATTTAAAATGAAAGGCAGCAGAAAGAAGAAAAAATCTTATTATATCTGCCCCTTTTTTCAAACAATTATTTCAATCATAATAATCTTCAAGTAACAGAACAAAATGAATAACTTTCTAATTTTTCTAATTCTAATACAAAACACACACTAATCTACTTCATATATACTTTTTTAACAATTCAGTTTTGATCTTTTTCTTAAATGTTCACATTGACTTGTCATTTTTCACATCACTCTCTAGACCATTCCACAATCCAACTCCTTGGATTGAGGTAGACCTTCCCTTCAGACTAGTTCTGAATTTTGGTTTGACAAATATCTCTATCCCCTTAAGATTATAACAACTTTGTCTTTTAACAACATTTCTTTGGATATTTAATGGTAATGTGTTATTTTGAGCCCTATACATAACTGATAAAATACTATAATCTACCAAATCATGGAACTTCAATAAGTTCAGTTGATAAAATAATGTGCTTGATGGGTGACTGTAATGCTTTCTGGTGATAATTCTTACAGCTCTTTTCTGTAAAATAAAAATTGGTTTTGTAAATGTTTTACACGCTTTCCCCCAAACATCAATGAAATAGATTAAATGTGGAACAATGATTGTGTTATACAACATGTACAGAGCTTTATCATTTAATAATTCCCTGACTTTAGTACTGCAATAGATTTAGATATTTTTGTTCTTACAGAATTTATGTGATTTTTCCATGTTAGCTGTTCATCAATGATTACACCCAAAAATTTCAACACATTAACTCTACAAATCTCAGTTAAACCACAGTACAGAATATGAGGCATTGATGAGGCAGACAGAGGAGGAGAATAAAGAGTCAGGTGCTGCTGCTGCTCTGGATGAGTCCCTCAGGGCTGCAGGACTATCCAGGTACAGAGGGAGGAAATGTGGAGCTTCAAGCTGTGCTAAGAAATGCTGCAGCTGGTCAGAGTAGTTTAAATTAATACATATGGTTATGAAATAAGTAACAAAATTAATTCATGCTTCAAAAAACTGTATGAGTTTAGTTTGGAATAATAATGTGCATCACTGAGATAATGTCACATGGGCAAAAAAGCCCAAATTTTTTCAGGTACGGTTTCCTAAAGAATATTGATAATTAAAAGTGGATTTTATAGACAAGTTGTCATCAAATTATATAGAGCAATGGTAATAAAACTGCCTTGGAAAACTCTGAAAATACAAAATATGGATTAAAAAACATATTTAAAACATATATATTATTTAATAGATATTTAATATTTTATTTTAATAGTTTTATAATTTTCCTTATTTTTTTTATTTTTCGTGTTTGAAAAACCATTTTTGCATATTTTGTACGATTGTGTCCTCTGTTGTTTTTTTTTGTTTTTAATTCAACCTTAATTTATACAGGTTACGGTTTTCTCAGCTCATCTCTATTGTACAAACCGGATTCCAAAAATGTTGGGACACTAAACAAATTGTGAATATAAACTGAATGCAATGATGTGGAGGTGCCAACATCTAATATTTTATTCAGAATAGAACACAAATCACAGATCAAAAGTTTAAACTGAGAGAATGTATCATTTTAAGGGAAAAATCTGTTGTTTCTAAATTTCATGGTGTCAACAAATCCCAAAAAAGTTGGGACAAGTCCATTTTTCCCACTGTGTGGCATCCCCCCTTCTTCTTACAACACTCAACAGACGTCTGGGGACAGAGGAGACCAGTTTCTCCAGTTTAGAAATAGGAATGCTCTCCCATTCATGTCTAATACAGGCCTCTCACTGTTCAATCGTCTTTGGCCTTCTTTGTCGCACCTTCCTCTTTATGATGTGCCAAATGTTCTCTATAGGTGAAAGATCTGGACTGCAGGCTGGCCATTTCAGTACCCGGATCCTTCTCCTACGTAGCCATGATGTTGTGATTGCTGCAGAATGTGGTCTGGCATTATGGTGTTGAAAAATGCAGGGTCTTCCCTGAAAGAGATGACGTCTAGATGGGAGCATATGTTGTTCTAGAACCTGAACATAGTTCTCTGCATTAATGGTGCCTTTCCAGACATGCAAGCTGCCCATGCCACAAGCGCTCATGCAACCCCATACCATCAGTGAGGCAGGCATCTGAACGGAGCGTTGATAACAACTTGGGCTATCCTTGTCCTCTCTGGTCCAGATGACATGGCGTCCCAGTGTTCCATAAAGAACTTCAAATCGTGACTCATCTGACCACAGAACAGTCTTCCATTTTGCCACACTCTATTTTAAATGACCCCTGGTCCAGTGCAAACATCTGAGCTTGTGGAGCTTGCTTAGAAATGGCTTCCTCTTTGCACTGTAGAGTTTCAGCTGGCAACGGCAGATGGCACGGTGGATTGTGTTCACTGACGATGCTTTCTGGAAGTATTCCTGAGCCCATTCTGTTATTTCCTTGTGTTGGAAAACTGGCATCCAGGCGGAAGAAGCCAGTTATAATAAGTTGAAATCAGACTATATTCAAACCAATGCTGCTAAAACGGTACCTAAAAGTTTGTTAACATTTTGTATGACATTATTAAATGTTTGGTTCTATTTCTCTTAATAGAAAAAGCCAGTCATAATAAATTGAAATCAGACAAGGTTCAGACCAATGCTGCTAAATGGTACCTTAAAGTTTGTTAACAGTTTGCATGACATTAGTAGATGTTTGTTTCTATCCCTTTTTAATAACTTTTTATTAGTTACTCATTGCTGGCAGAATGTGTGAAACAAAGGAAGGCCTGTACCCAATCTCAAGGAGAGGAAGAGCAAGATCAAGGATAAATTATGCGACCCCCTCTGGGCAAGCTAATTAAGAAAAGACATTAACAACCTTCAAGCTAATTAAGAAAAGACATTAAAAACTTTCAAGCTAATGAAGAAAGGACATTAACAGCTTCCAGAGTGATTAAATTGGAAAGTAAACTTAGAAAAGTAGACGCTTGGGTGCACCCTCTGAGCATGTTCTCATATGTCCCAATCTCGAGAATACACAAGGCAACTTCCATGCTGATTTGGTAATGGGAGGAAAAGCATTAACGGCTTTCAAAATTAATTAAATTAAAAAGTAAACTTTGGAAAGTAAGCGCCTGATGCATCCCCTGGGCATGGTCTCATATGTCCCAATGAGAGGAGTGATTGGTTGAGGCGTATAGTGAAACATTTGAACCTCCTTAGGGGAGGGGGAAAAGTGTATAAAAGTCCCTTAGTCAGGCAGAACGGGGCACAAGCACAAGCAAGCCGGAGGAAGAGAAGAGCAGAAAGGACTTCAGCACGCAGCTCGGAGGGCAGGGGCACCCGAAGGGGATGGAACACGCCGGTCTAAGACGAGTCTTGGATTTATCTCTGGTCTCTCTGAGACGAGATCAGACCTAACTCTTCACTTGTTAAGACGAGACCAGGATTATTCCCTCCTCCTATCTGCTTGGCCCGGGTATGTCCAAAGCCTCATTCCTTCCAATTTGGGATAGCTGTGCTGCGTAGGGAAGGCCGGTATCCCCCTCCTGGGGAGCAGGAAATTTGCCTTTTACCCGTGTGGGAGAAAATTCTATTAGAATCGTCCTAAAGACCAGGGTAAGAGGACTTCCCGGTCCGACTGCTCCAAACCAATTAATCTGTCAGATCAGGGCAAGTATATAAGGAAAATCGGAGAGAACCAAACTGGGTTTAGTGAGACAGTGCTCAGAGGTGCATTCAAGCGTTGAGGCATTTTGAGGAAAAAGAACATCTGTCAGCTTGAGTGGTGAACTGAGGTGGTTTACACAAGTCTCCAAGGGCTCTTGGAGACACATTGATTTATTGTCCGCCTAGTTATAAAGTGTTTTTCTCTATTATCATGTATAAGTATTTGTAGTGAAATTATGCTTGTCGCTGTATTCCCTTGCAAAATTATTAATTAAAGCAACGCAAAACGTATAAATCTTGACTATTATTTCACCTTTGTTGAGCAGAATACATGGTGAGGCTTGGTTCCACTTTAACATCTGATATTAGGAGGTTTTTAACGGTTTCCTGGCAAGAAAGTGTAAAACAACACCCCTGAGTCCTCTTCCTGGACTCTAAAGATTACCAGAACAGATAACAATTGCAACGCTAAATTAAGAGGTGGGTGACCGTGAACGCGCGTTTCTCCGTGCCAGCCGGCCTGACCCTGCTGCTTGGACGGGACGAGGAACGGAGTGAGATTTGGGTGTGACGCGCAGAAGAAGGTCGTTAATATTCTGGATGAGTCACCTCATCACAGCCTTCATGAGACCGCCTTGGGGAGCTGCAGGTAATACCACGGCGCTAAGGTTAGTTTCTCGACTCCTTGGAGGAGAGGCTGCGCGCGAGGACCTGTCATTTCGCCAGTGACTGCCTCGCTACGGGAAAGCGATATACTTGACAGTGGCATTCCTGTTTGAGGTGCAGTGACGTTTAAGGGCCGGGAGATCACGAGCATCCAGTAGAGTTTTACGGCCTTGACCCTTACGCACAGCGATTGTTCCAGATTCTCTGAA